TGGTCTGAAAGTCTTCATAGAAACGAAGATATATCCTTTTTTGCTTTAATCCTCGTTGTGAGCACCATAACCTCGTTGTGAGCAAGAAAAGCGCAGTGCTTGTCTGGTTTTAATATGTAATTCAAATGGCAAGAATACAATTTTCAATCTACCAAAAGCAATCAAAATGTTTTTGTACAATAGTTTCTCTTTGCAATAGTTCTTCTCTTTCTTTTATTGAAAATTATTCTTCATATTCCCAAGTCATCAGATTAACAGTTCTAAGAACTAATCAGTGGAGGTAAATCAGCTATTTTATTTCATATACTCTAGTGTGGCACGAGTGAACATCACGGGGAGTTTATGAATATTTCAACAATTTCACAATCTGTGTGATACACACATACATGTGTTTATCCTGAGCTGAAGACTGACCAAGTTATGTAAAACAAGAACTATCACGGTAAGTTGACAATGCCCCTGAAGTGGTGCTTTGTCCTTTGATTTATGGACCAGATAGATTATTTGTTTTTGGACAATTAGATCTTGATCTTCAATGTGAAGGTCATTCAAGGTCAAGGTGAAATAAATATAGGTCAGTTAGAAGGTCTTGTCAAAGGGGCATTGTGTCCAAATATGAATTAATTCCACTTACTTATAAAGAAGTTATGACCAATGTTAAAGTTTTTGGATGTTCTAGAAGGTCATTCAGGGTACAAGTTAAAAAAAAGACCGATCAGTTTGAAGGTCTTGCCTAAAGGGGTGTTGTTTCAAAATATGAGTAGCATTTGTATGCTGATAAGGAAGTTATGACCATTTTTTAAGTTTTTGGACAATTTGACCTTCAAGGTGAAGGTCATTCAGGGGTCAAGGTCAAAAGAATATAGGATAGCTGAAAGGCCTTGTCCAAAGATGTGTTGTGCCTAAACATTATGCCAGGACATTATGGCCAATATTAAATGTTTTTGGACAATTTGACCTTCAAGGTAAAGGCCATTCAGGGGCCAAGGTAAAAAAAATACAGGTCCGTAGAAAGGGATGTGCTAAGGGATGTTGTGTTCAAATATGAATCAAATCCGTTTACTAATAAGGAAGTTATGGCCAATGTTTAGTTTTCGGACAGATTGACGGACTGACAGACGGACAGTTCAAAACTAATATGCCTCCCTTTGGGGTATGTACAACGCCTTGCAAAGAAATGCTGCTGTGCAAAAACGTTTTAATTGCTGTGGTAGATTGAAAATTATATTTTCACCATCTGAATTACATATTAAAACCATACACGCACTGCGCTTGTCTTGCTCACAACGAGGTTATGGTGCTCACAACGAGGATTAAAGCAAAAAAGGGTATATCTTCTTTTCTATGAAGACTTTCAGACTATAATTTACGCTGAAGACTTGTGGGCATCTGTTTTAGGTTAGAATGCACAAAACGTCACCAGAATCGACGTTTTCAATGTTAAATAAGGTCCAAAGAGAAGTTGTCTCCAGTTTTCCTGCTACCCCGAGTGACTGCGTCGCACGGTATTTCCATCAAATTGTCCACCAACAGGCAATATCTTTACATGTGCATACTCGGAAAACACATCGCTAGCTAACTGCATTTCGATATTTTTACATAAATGTCTGTAATCTTCAAAAATTATGAAAAACTCACCTTGTTTATCATGTCACACGTCATAGATGGGTGCTCACAACGAGGAACGGAAGTTGCTCACAACATTTTTACCGATGGACATTTTTCACTCGTTGTGAGTTAAACGGGCGTGGATTTAGGGGCCAAAGAGGAATTATGATGGAATTATAATCAAAACCAGAGGTAAGATTTTGCAATGTTTTCTTTGAATTTTTCTTTGAATTATTTGGTTATACCTTCCACTGTAATTTATACATCTTTTAATAGTCTATGAATTATCTATATTAGTTAAATTTACTCTGATTTGAGACAGACCACTATGGTCTAATGAGTATATAATTAATGCACTGAGGTCAAAGCTGGGCCAGTGAGATTATTAGTTCATAAATTGCTTTTTGATCAGTTGATAGCTCAAGATCTATTTTTTTTTTTTAATTTCTTGCTCTAATAGGCAATAAATAGTTTAGCTTTTGGTTTTGCTATTCTATAATCCAATTCATTTAGTTTAAATTAATCAATTCAAAACTTCCAGAAATTGTGTAGAATGTATGACAAGCAACGGTTGCTATGGTCAGTGCTTATCAGCAATTCTATTTTTAGAATATTGGCCACTTGTAAAACTCTCCTATTTTAAGTTATGTTGCAATTTACATGACTGTGTAGATTTGTAACACAAGCTTTGGTCAGGGATGATATATGTAAACAGTTTTATTAGTCAGTGACTTTGATGTTACTTGGTGCAAAAAACCTTAAGGTATATAGGTATACAATTTTAACTGTTTTATAATTATACACATTGAAATATTTTACAAATTTTGCATATCATTTAATAATAGAATGAACATAATTCAAATTCCTTTTTTTTACTCTAGATTATGTCAGGATGTGTGTGTGGTGCAAAGACAGAGACAAGCCAATTCCTGATGACAGCGCCCTCAACAAGGCTATTACTCATTGGATAGACCTCTCAGGAAAGAAATGAATAAAAATTGTTAATTAAAATTAATAAATAAGAAATGTTCAAAAGGAAAATTGATTTTGTTTTTAGCCAAAAAATATTTTCTGTACAGAATTTTTTCTGTGCAGAATTCCCTTTCAGATATTTCCTATGGACAGGGTTAATTCTGTACAGAATATGAAGAAGCCCAGATTTTTTTCTGCCCAGATTTTTTTTTCTGCCCAGATTTTTTTCTGCCCAGAAAATAATCAGCTTAATTTAAATATTTCAGAAAAAATCTGTACAGATTTTGTTCTTTATCCTTATTGCTAAAATCTATTAATAGAATTCTGGTTCAAATTTGTTTCATTTTCAAAATTCTGCAGGTTAAGGATAAAATATATATCAACACTCCAAAAACGCTGCCAGGATTCGAATACAGCAGTGAGCGGCAAGTGATTTGACATTAAGTGGTCTTAACTACCGGTATTCAGTCTCAAAGAATGATATATTCAAGTACACTTTAAAAAAATTTCTAAACAAAGTTAAATGCAATGCCTTAAATGTCAGAAAAAAACCTTTGAACATGTACATGTTTCACACAATATAAATGAAAGAGTGCCAGAATTATTCGACTTAGGGCAGAAAACCCCAAATTAGCTAGGGCTGACTCTAATGCCAATTTTTGTAAACCATTATTAATCCAATAAAGTTATGACAAGATCTTATCTAACATAGTGAATGGATACAGTTCATATATAAATTTCTCATATATAGCTGAACTAGTACTCCGTGAGTCGGATGTGTTGCCTTGTGAACAATATAGTTTAGGAGAAATGGCCAGGACAAAAATGAAATATGAAAATTAACAAAGGACAATAACTCAAAAAATAAGAAGTGCAGAGCAGCAATTTCTGTGCACTGCACTTCTTATCAATAAGATCCATCATCCTATGAAGTTTCAAGTCCATAGCTTTTATAATTTATGAGAAATGGCCTGGACAAAAATAAAGTATGAAAATTAACAAAGGGCAATAACCCATAAAATAAGAAATGCAGAGTACCGGTTCTTGTGCACTGCACTTCTTCTTAATGAGATCTATCTTCCTATGAAGTTTCAAGTCCATAGCTTTTATACTTTAGGAGAAATGGCCCGGACAATAATAAAAGTATGAAAATTAACAAAGGGCAATAACTCAAAAAATAAGAAGTGCAGAGTACCGGTTCTTATGCTCTGCACATCTTCTGAATGAGATCTATCATCCTATGAAGTTTCAAGGCCATAGCTTTTATACATTACGGACAAACATAAAGTATGAAAATTAACAAAGGACAATAACTCAAAAATAAAGAAGTGCAGGTAACTGGTTCTTGTGCATTGCACTTTGGGTCATTATAAGAAGCATGCATACCAAGTTTGAAGTAAATCCGACTTATAATGACTGACTTATGCTCTGGACAAGCTTAAGGGGACGCGGAAGCCGCCGACAATGACGCCGTCGTCAAAAGTAACCCCTATATGTCGCCTTTTTCAATGCGACACAAAAAAGTAACCCCTTATGTCGCCTTTTTAAGGCGACACAATAACACAATGGACAACAACATTATTTTGTATAATTCTGAATGGAAATCTGTTTATTTAAACCAGTCTAACTTAACAAGTAATAGTTCCATAATGCTATAGCTATTTCACATTTGTGACTAATGAAAAGGCAGTAAAAGAGGCATTCCTAGAACAGTAAAATGCTTTAACTTTATTTTAGAAATAACATAAATTTTTCTGGAATAACATATTTTATTTTAGTCGCTCTTTTGCTATTCTAAAAAAAAATTACTATATAGAGGGTTAGGCAAACAAGAACATCATCATTGGGAAGTTCAAAAAGCAAGTTGTTGACACAATTCAAGAATATTCCCTTAATGTAAACAAGAGCTGTCTAAAGGAAGGGCACTCTCTAATATATAAATTTGTTTTCCAAGAAATGTGGAAATATAACTGAAGAAGGAATATTTGTTCAATAGCCAGATTAACTGATATGGCTCTGCTAGGAAACAGTAAACTACAGGCATGTATCTTGAAGATTTTTTGTTTGTCTAAAAGTATTCTGCCAATCAGAGCACAAATTGCAGTATTCTGCCAATCAGAGCACAAATTGCAGTAAAATTCTGCCAATCAGAGCACAAATTGCAGTAAAATTCTGCCAATCAGAGCACAAATTGCAGTGTTCTGCCAATCAGAGCACAAATTGCAAAGGATACAACAAGTCCACATTACTTTCACTTGAAATTACATATAGTATATTGCAAAACTAAAGTACATTAAAGTTACTTTCACAGAATTTTATCCATACATATACACTTAAGGGCTCTACAAGACTGTATTTATTATTATTGCTCTCACATACCATCATAAAAGTTATATTTCATAGGGCTCACAATCACTTACCGTTATCAAAACAAATATTTCCAAGAGCACGACAAGCCTGTGTCATTCTATCTATGTCATCTTGCCTCTCTAGAACTTTCAGTAGAATGGGAATAAAACCTTTCTCAACACACGGCACTCTAACAGATTCTGAAATATAATGTACATTAAATTACACATATACTATAACCATTGAGAGGAGTGGTGGCCTTGTAATGAAAATGTTTGTCTCTCAACCAAGGGACTGTGGGTTTGAGTCCAACTTGCTTAACCCAGGGATCATAGGTTTGATCCTACTCGTTCATGATCATGTTCCACATATGACACCAGTAATAATTACATGATCAGTGCAAGGAAGCAAACTCCAAAGTAATTCATATATAAATAGCAAAAACTTGTTTCACAATTGAGCTTTAAAATATATCTAAAATAAAACTCATCATTACAATAATTTGATAATTTAAAGCACAGTTTTCAAAATCCTATCAAACAAAATGTTCATTCCTATCAGACACATCAATCAACATTTAAGTTCAGAACAAAAAAAATGCATTTCAATTCACAAGAACAAGATGTATTTAAATTCACAACAACAATATGCATTTAAATTCACAACAACAAGATGCATTTCAATTCACAACAAGATTCATCTGAAAAATAATAATTTGCTGAAACAGATTCTAATCAATTAGCAAAACTAAACGTCAGCTGAACAAATTCAATGGTACTATTAGTAATAAATGCAGGTCTATGATTGTGCACTACGTAAAACAAAATAGGTACTTAATTCTCTTCAAAACAGCCCATTCATTCTAGACTACTGTCATAACAGTAAGCATTCCACTTTCAATTACAAAGCTTTGGCATTCCTTCTTTAAACAGAATATGCATTCCGCTTTTCAAACACATGCATCCCCCCTTCAAACACAATATGCATTCCCTTTTCAAACACAATATGTATTCCCCCTTTCAAACACAATATGCATCCCCTTTTCAAACACAATATGCATTCCCTTTTCAAACACAATATGTGTTTCACTTTCAAGCACAGAAATCATTCCAACATTTGCAAACATAGATTGCAATTGCATTTCACTTTCAAATAGTCACTATCCCAACTGTAAAGGCTGTCAGTTATTGTTACTTTTTGTATGCCAAATAATTTACATAGGTGTCCACTTATGTGCTGCAAATTCAACTAAATACATTATACTACTGATAATCTACTTTCAAACAAAGCATGCCAGTTTCAAAGACAGGTATTGATATTCTTCTTTCGAACAAAACATGTCATTTTCAAACACAGGTATTGATAATCTACTTTCGAAAAAAACATGCCATTTCAAACACAGGTATTGATAATCTACTTTCGAACAAAACATGCCATTTCAAACACAGGTGGAGTCCCACTTTCATGCACATATAACATGCAAAAGAAGTAAACTGGTAAAGCTATTATACACATCTGTTACGCAAACCAAAGCATCCATTTCATTTCTAACAAATGGCATTGCAATTTACGATTTAAGAAATTTTAAATCAAAACAACCAACAACAAAACCTTACCATTTTTTGCTAGCTCAGCAAGAAGTTGACCAACAGATGCCAGAGTATCTTCATCTCCAGATACATTTATTAGATCATCTAGTATACCCTCACTTGTTAACCTTTCAGCTATGTCATCAGTTTCTTCTTCTAAAATAAAAGATTTCTAAAATAAGCCAAATCATACATAAAATAAGGTTACTTTTTAAATATCAAGAGAGGTCTATTGTGAGTTTTCAATTTTCAAGCTTAAAGTGAAATTATGCCCATTAAACAGTATAATTATTATAGTGAGTTAACACATGGAAGTCAAAGTAAGTTTACAATTTGCCATAATTCCTTTTAATTCTATAATTTTCTTCACATGAATGAAAAATAAGGCACATTGCCCATAGAAATTTCTGTAAATATACATCAGAATTAACTTGTAATGTTCATTTTATAAAAAAAACAGTGGAACAGTCAGACTAAACATTTTCCACTATCAACTGTTGGTGAATAGCCATAATAACAGTCAATCTTAAGATTGAAATATAAAGTCAATTCATCTTAACTTGGCAATGAAAAAAAAATGAACAAAAGGTCACTTAAATACATTGTATTGGCTTCACAGACATGTTAATGATAAACATAACTGTAAAATCATCTGTATCAGGCTTTGCCTCTAATGGAAAGTCCATGGTTTAAAAAATTCACTTCCATTAATTTAGTCTAATTAATTTGATATGGGTGGTTTAACATATAATTACAGGCTATTTCCCTACTGTCAAACCATTTAGAAAAGACAACACCTGAATGTCTGTTTCACATTGAAGTCTAATTCATTAGACTGTAATTAATTCATCAAAATATCAAATAATCTCACCTTTTTGAGTGCCCTCAAATACATCGAGTATACTATTAATTGCCTTGACTTTGTCCGTCTTACAATTTGCTGCTCTCAAGCATTCTAACATAGGTGATATATCTGTAAATGAACAAACATTCATTGATTTAATTCACTAATTTAAAATATTAACTTATGTATAAAAGCACAGTGTCAAGATGATCTTTTTTGTTCAAGTTATGGCATTGCCGATGTTGGTCCAAATATGTTAGACTTATAACTATTAATTTCTAAGCATATTGAAAACTAGAACTCCGCAAGTTGAATGTGTCACCTTGTGAACAGTATAGCTGTCACTTAGGCATTTTCTTCTTAAATATAGGTAATGCAGGAACAAAAGTTCAAAAAGTAACCCTTTCATGGTCCCCAAACAGTAGTTATTACGAATTTTGTTATAGTTTTACAAATAAATAAATATGTAAAAAAAAAATTGCCATTAATATGCGAGCATGTCAATATTACTTATCTTCCCTTGACGGTCAAATAAGATATGTTTATTTTGCCAATACATATTTAAAGCTACATTTAATTAATTTCATAAAAATAGAAATAGCCACATTTCAATAATAAATTGGGTTTCATATCGACTCTAGATCTTATTTTGGTGTCCGAACAACCAAAATGAGTTTCATAAGCATAAAAATCTGCAACCTCATTGTGGCGTAAATTAGAATGACAATTTCTGTTTGCATGAGAAACTCCGCCTTTTGATCATTTGTACATCAATATTAAATCAAGAAACATGGCTTTAAGTAGCAGTCCTATTTTAACGATATATTTCCTCATTGTAACAGTCGTTTTCATACAAATTTTATCTGAACAACATGCCTAATGCAAAGCTAAAACAGTTAAAGTGTGTTTGCACAAGAAAATCTTATGTTTGTTGTGTTCCAGATAGCAAAAATAACACTGTGATGTCTTTATTTACATGTTAACATTCATATACATGCAAATTGATATATGTGTGTATATGTCTATTCCCTGAATAAATCGATACGATATACAAACTTTGGAGTATCCAGGGGGTTTTCCATTTAAAATCATGATTTATGAACAATATTTGATGAGATTTAAATCTGTACTGTTAAAAAGGTTAATGAACCTGTAGAATGCTTGGTTTTAAGGCAGACGGCAAAATATTTTTACATAGATATTTATTAAATGCAACTTTAAAAGTTTCAAAGACTCAGAAATAATTGTTTTAGTTGTCGATCCATACGTAACATCCTGATACATGACCGCATACAAAAACTTATCATAATATTATTATTAAATTCATGCATGATACAAAAGTGTAGTATACTGAAACTGTACATAATTCTGGAAAAGAGTCAACTCGGCCCTATACCAACTCGGCACGGGACAACTCGGCATGGGTCAACTTGGCCCACTTTACAAAAATATATAGGCCTTTAACGTATTTACTTTGCTTTGTATGTTGTTAAGGTAAATGAATAATAAGAAATATCTTATTATTATTATATAATTATACATTGTATCTCTGCTGAAATAAAGTATATTTAGAAAAAAAAGTTATTTATTTGTCTTGCAGATTCGATAAAATTAATATATCCACAGGCACGATTATCGAACCTGGGAAGAAAAAATATGAACAGATTGATAAAGTAACTTCATATTTTTTCTTCCCAGGTCCGATACTTGTGCCTGTGAATATAGATATAATAAAAATGTGTTTCCTTAGATGCATTTTGTTGGTAAAGTAATTTTCAAAAAAATATGAAACAAAAACGTGTTTACTTAATACGGGGAAGTCAAAGTCAGGGCCCGCGAAGCGGGCCCGGGCTTTGGCTTGCCCAGCTATAGACTACACGTGTATATTTAAAAGAAAATCAAATAAAAAACAATTAAAAATATATAGAATTCAAAACCTATCAATTAAATTTTCAGTGTCAGTTCTAGTTAGGCGCCGCCATTTACAATGTACCTCAATGATAAAAGACGATGTATTCCGATAACGGAACAAAACTCAACTTTTCGGATAAATAATAAACAAGTGTTCCGAGTGAAAACGGAAGCGGTGCATGAAATACCGAATGACACCTTTAAAACAGAAAAAAATGAAAGGAAGCAACTTCCCCGTTTATAGGCTTTGCCTAATTTCATATTAGCATAAGCTTCTAATTAATTGCAGGTGGTCACTAATCAAATTTGAATGAATGAGTCAATCATAATTATCACCTAATTAATCGGTATCTTTAACATACACATTGATTGATAATAATAGCCCATGACAATAGGAGTCCTTTGATGTCCTTTACCCATTTTTAAACGTGGGCCGAGTTGACCGTGCCAAGTTGGAATGGAAACAGGACGTTTCGGCCCCAAACCAAATCGGCCCCAGTCGAAAAATCGGCCCCTGGACGTTTCGGCCCTTTTCCGCGAGACGTTTCGGCCCCACTATAGTATATTGCTTGATTGATTAACAACAATAATTTAATAACAATTAAACAATTATGACACTTTAATTCTTTAAATAATTATTTAAATATTATCTTTTGATCTCTTGAACCATTTAGATGTACGTTAATGTGATTTTAAAGGTGTAACAAACAATAAAGGCAGGTTACTTAATTTATAAAACAAACCACTAAAACTTCTGGATTAAGAAAGTTAATTACAATTATTACTTAGAAAACATTATCTTTTGATCTTAATTAAACTATACGTAATTTTTTCAAGGTGTAACTAATTAACTGTTTATAGCATTATGCTAATTGGCGGTAAGTAATATCAGAGAAAACTTCAAAAGATATGTAAATAATTGTTTGTTTGTGTATTATATTTTTTTCAAATAAAGTTTATGTTCTGTTCTGTTTGTATTAATAAAATATTATCTATATAATTATGTTGTAAATAATTGTTTGTTTGTGTATTATATTTTTTCAAATAAAGTTTATGTTCTGTTCTGTTTGTATTGATTACTTTTCCCCTACTACTATTATAATCTAGTTTTTATACAAAATTATTAAATATATATATATTAATTGATTCATTTAATCATTTAAATGCTATTAATATATCGGTTTAATATACAGTACATATTCTGGGGCCGATTTGGTAAAGGGCCGAAACGTCCGGGGCCGAAACGTCTTGGGTAGTTTGGGGCCGATACGTCTTGGGGCCGAAACGTCTCGAAATCGTTGGAATAGGGCCGAGCTGACTCGGGGACCGAGTATGTTTTAGGGCCGAGCTGACCCGGATTCCATTATTCTACAGTGCCTATAACTAATAAACACTGCAAGTTAGGGATACAGAAAATTATAGATATGACTTTCTATTCTTGCAAAAAATACAGATCATAGTCAATAATATATCTTTCCTAATGATGGTGCGTTCCTCGGAGCAGATTTATGTTACTGAACATCTACATGCTCCGAGTTTTCACAATAATCAATTTCAAAGCAAAAAATTATCAGCACTTAGTTTGTAACCTTGTTCATTATTGTCTGGTGCAAAGAAAATCAGAACTTACAATTGCTGTTATTCAAAGGCATAAATTTTGTTAAAGCATACTTACCCATTATTTCAATATAGGAAAGTATAGATCTAGTGTCTTTGCGTATCACATGTGGTTTAAACTGACAGCTCCTGTCATTTTACCGGAAGTATACACCGTGAAACCTAACAACTGCATGTAACCACAAATTCAATTATTGCGCGAAACATGAATTATGAAGGAATATTTGATGAACATGAAAATTATTATGAAACAGTACATTTGATTGAGATTTAATCTTCTAGTGTAATTAAATCCCTTCAGTATTAAACTTTCCCATTAAAAAAAGCAAAATTATGTGATCTTCGAAAAAGTAGTTCTGTTGACAAAAAAATCGAAAGGAAATTTTCTTATTTCCGTATACAAAAATTTGAAAAATAATTGCATCACAGATAACCAAATTGATACATATATAAATCAATCATTATCATTTTCTTGATATAAAAATAGCTTTAGATCAACAGGAACATCAAAAGACATTTCATTTATTAATTAGCATCACCCAACCTTTACGAATATTATCCATAACTCCTTTCGGTCAAACAGGTAAATTTCATGGCGGTTTCGGAATAGTAAGGATGAATTTTTCAGTGACTTTAAATGGAGGCTCACCCTGGGGATTTCGGCTTCAGGGTGGAAGGGAATTTAATGAACCAATCCGTATTGCCAAGGTATATTAAAATTAAAATTTTTATGTTTTGAAATGTTGTTCTTTCCTAGTTACTTTGAAAGTTTCTAGTTCTAATGTGTCAGAAATGACAGGAATCTGGTGACCTTTGACCTCAGTTCCGGTAATAAGTTGTTGAAGATTCAGGAAGTAAGAACTTATCCGCATGTGTCAGCCTCTTGATACTTATTCTTGTTACAATATCATTTATATTTAATTTTCCCACAACAGGTAGATTTACCTGGTCTTGTTGATTTGTTTTTGAAACATTAAAAAGTTTATAAAAACTTCATTCAATTAAAATTTGAATCTGAGTATAGGGGGTCTCTCCATTGTTTCCAATTTGAAAGACACTGGTGTATCTAATACTTTATAAATAGAACCAATGCTTTATTACAATAAAAATATAAAGCTCTATGTATTTGGACATAATGGTAAAATTGCGGTACCACTAAAATACGCAACGGAGATTTTTTGGCGCAACGGACGCAACGGGCGCAACGGAGATATTTTTTTAGAAAAACCGGCACAACGCCTTTTTTTAAAGTCAATGTGCTATATTTAAGCATCTAAAATGATTGTTTAGCACTATTAAGTAAGTATGTTTTAAAATGTTTCATAAATTGTATGTTTAATTGCACTGAAGGGTTATATGCCTGGCGAAAATGGAAAATTTCATGGCGCAACGGAGATATTGTTTAGAAAAAACCGACACAACGCCTTTTGTTAAAGTCAATATGTTATATTTGAGCATCTAAAATGATTGTTTAGCACTTTTAAGTAAGCATGTTTTAAAATGTTTCATAAATTGTATATGTTTACACTGAAGGATTATATATGCCTGGCGAAATGGAAATTTCATGGCGCAACGGAGATAATTTTGGAAAATCGGCACAACATATGTATTAATATATGAAATTAATTGACACCAATGTTATTTGAATAAATAAAATTTTAAAAAAAGATATAAAACTTTAATCGTATATCAAATAATCAAATAGCTGCAATGTTGATGTTGTACAGGATTGTGTGCCGGCGAAATGGACATTTTGTCTGCGCAACGGAGATTTTTATTTTGCGCAACGGAATTTAAAAAGAAAACAATGTTTGTCCTAATTAAGTAGTAATATGAAGAAGTAAATCATTAAAGATATTAACTGAATTACAGAAGTGTTGTAATAAAAGTCTGTTTTATTAGTTTTAAAATGGAATTAAATACGTTTTTATCGTTATGGCTGACACTGGAAGACAAGTATGGATTTTACAATCTGTTTCATTTTTTTCCCGTTCAATTCGTTATTTTTTACGAAAAGTATTGTAATAGCTTTTCTATACATAATTTTTAATTGAATTTGAATTAATTGAATTTGCATTAGTATATACTAAATAAAGTCATATGTTGATATTACAGAATCAATGTTCATATTTTTTTTTATTATAAACATTCATTGTATTGTTGTTATACGTTTCATTATTAAACTCCGTTGCGCCGATGGATTATTGCGAAACGGAGATTTTATTTTCAAAACTGTGTACTTGTACTGTTTTTTTTATGTCTATGTTGATGTTTTATACATATTTTTTACATATACTGTATAAGTTTGAATTTATTAGGTAGAATACTGATTATATCAGATTCTAAATGGACGGCGAAATTGACATAATTTCGGCGCAACGGAAAATGAAGATTTGCATAACGGGTAGACCTTATGTTTGAACATAACTTAAGAATTTTAGAATAATAAGTAACAATCTTTTAAAAATGATTTACTTTCCTTTATTTTAGAAAATGTTGAAAATAGGATATTGTAAGATATTTAAATCACGGCGAAATGGACACATTTCGGCGCAACGGGGATTATCATAACAATTTTATCATATTATATTATTTTATTAATTTATTATCTTTCATTAATCATTGTGTACTTTTTCAATAATTGTTTGTTGTGTATACATTGTATATTTCATCAAAAGCAATCAAAATATTTCATAATTATGATATTGACAAAAGGTAATCAATTAAGCGAGAATTGTTAGCAATTAGCAATGCATAGTATGGCACGGGTGTTTAATGCTTTTAACAATTGTAATATTTTCGACAATAACAAGTTATAAAAGATATTTAATACCTTAAAGTCAATACATGTTCCTCTTAATCACATTATCTAAATGGTGTGAAAACGCGTGTCCAATAAACATCAACCACGTGTCAGTGGTAATTTAATTATCGGATTAAACCCGTGATAAACATTCTGCCAAATTATATGGTGTACGGAGAAACAGGCTGTCTGCCGCTATCTATTGATATAAACGAAAGAATAATCATGTTTTGGGCTAGATTAAAAAAGCACGATGTAAATAATCATCAAAAGAAATTGTCGTCTCATTTATACAATATTACATATAATCTTTCAAAAAACTTAAGTGAAAATAATTTGAGAAAAAAATTTCCTTGGATTGCAAACTTAAGACAAATTTTTATAAATTGCGGTTTATGTAATATATGGGATACACAAAATTTTGGAAACGAGAAGTGGTTGAAATTAGCAATTAGACAGAAACTAAAAGATGTTTTTCTAAATGATTGGTATTCCGTTATTCAAAACTCCAGCAAAAGTACATTCTACAGAATATTCAAAAAAGAATTTAAATTCGAAAAATACCTTTTATCAACTCCTAAACCTTTTCTTCGTTACATGATAAAATTTCGTACACGTAACCATAGATTACCAATAGAAACCGGAAATTGGGCCCGAATACCAACCAATCAAAGAACATGTACTTCTTGTAACAATAAAATAGGCGACGAATTTCATTACTTATTTGAATGTGTTTTGCTTAATGATGAAAGAAAGAAATTTTTGAAACCCTATTATTATAGACGTGCAAATACATTCAAACTAGATCAACTAATTAATACAGAAAACAAAAGCGAATATTTGAAATTATGTAAATTTGTTAAAACAATAATTTTAAGATAATTAAAATTAGAATTCACCTCATATGTGATTACTTACATTCCAAGAATTACTTACATTCCAAGACTATTACACGAATATTTCACAGATAAATCTTTTATTACCCATTGTAAAGTGTTTGTTTGTTATAATATTTGTCTAAATAGTATGACACTTTTTTCATTTAGCTTATAAGTATGAGTCTAGAAATGTCATTGTAAAGGTTTAAAATATTATGTCGTACATAATTGTACATCACTTGTCAGTTGTTTATATTATTATTTCTTTTCCCTTTTCCTTTTTTGTAACTATTCTCATCGTTTGTCGATAAATAAAAAGAAAGGTAATATGAAACGAAATTATACCCTTAGAGAGTGTCCAAATTACGTGACTCTCCACGTTTTTTTGTGGTAACATATTACTAAGAACTTTAACAATTTGTGGTTTAGATACATTGTTAATTGAACGTACTGCAGTTCAGCAAATGATATGAATAAATACTCTTTCTACGAATTATTTTACCACTCAAATTATATAATTATACATTGTACATTTGTTTAAAGAGCCTCTACTAACATTGTATTTATTACTAACCACATTTATTCATGTTAACATGAAATGTGTGTAATAAAGGAAATTTGACTTGACTTGACTTTGTTTCGCTATATAACAGTAGCTGCATTTGGTTTTAACGGGTTTTTTTTTTCTTTTTCTTTTTTTGAACAGAACATATCTTTTTATTCACCCAGGTACATGAAGATATCATATCGTACAACATGGGGTTATTACGAAATTTACATTAACACAAAATAATACAGTATCCGGTCAATGAGTATTACAATGCTGCAAAATCATGAGAAAAAGAGAAAGAGAGAAAAAAAATGAAATATAAGTTTTGAAATTTTTTTCGCTATTTAGAGACACGTGGGTGGCTGGAGACGGGGGAATGCTCACTTTAAATCAACATTAAATAAATACTGATGTCACTCGTTAATTATTTTTTTGTGAGCCTCGTATGATTTTATCGTATGATTATACCATTTATTTTAAATTCCTCATACATGTATTTGCATGTATACATGTATTGATAGAAATAAAGATTATGTTATGTTATGTTACATGCATGTCATTGATTAAAGTCATTACAATATTTAACGTAAATATAACGTAATACACGGAAAAAAAGAAACAGATTTAAAGACTCATGTTTATCTTCGAATATCAGCCATGACGGAAATAAACGTATTTCTTTGTGCAGCAGTAAAGCCATTAAGCAGCGTTTTGTTGAAATTTGATAATTTATTGTTAAGATTACATTAGAAAGTCTACAGCGTATACATTCCGGACTTTTGGTATTCTTCAAGTAAAATTCTGAAAATTATGTATAGAAAAGCTATTACAGTACGGGAAAAAAATGAAACAGATTGTAAAATCCATCACGGACTTTAATTGACATAATATAAATCCGTGAATCCATACTTGTCTTTCAATGTCAGGCAGAACGATAAAAATTAACGTATTTAATTCCATTTTTAAAT